ATCGAGGGGCAACGAATCGGTTGTGCAGCTTCTCCTCGAGTGGGGCAGAGGTGAATGCGAAGGGTGGCCCTTTCGGCAATGCACTAAAAGCAGCGAAAGAATATAATCGTGAACCGACTGTGCAACTTCTCCTCAAAAACGGGGCAGATCCCGATCTATGATTTCGGCAGCATGACACATGTAGCACAACCAGCTAGGAGACTTTCTATTTTTCAACTACTCGAATATCTTAATTCTCGAGTGGCTGCCAATTCTTGAAGCTGCGCCTTTCCTATCCCGTATCTGCTCCATCTCTGTCTTACCATTCATTTACATGGTTAGTGCAAAAAAACACCAACTCGTACGATACCTTCACACTCGACACTCCCGGCGGTCTACTACCCTACGACTGTGCTCGATTACTCGCCCGGGACAAACAACAGTTAATTTCCTGTACACCATCTATCCATATACCACGGAATGCTCCACGTGGCTTCCACGACTTTCTCGGAAACTTCATATTACCTCATGGCCAGTTTACTTGAATATACAAACCCGGATCTACAATTATCTCTACCAACCCGGCCTCTCTAATCCCTCTATCCCATAGCCTCATCCTCCTACATCTAGTTCAACACCCCCGACACAACCCCCCCCGGCCCCCCTATGCCCTATTACACAAGTATTCAGTACCTATTGAAGATCCCATTTTAACTTACCGCACTAATTCACTCTTATTTCACCCCATCTCCTTATTATCCTTATCTCCTTTTAGAACAAAATCTCAATACGTCCTGGATTGTACTGTGTGGTGTTTGGGGTCACACCCATACTTACCATCAATGGGCAAATCGGTCAGAAGACCCGGATAGAAGGAGTAGCTTGAAGAGTGTTGTTCTCGGGGTGGCGAGAGGGGATTAAAAGAGTCTGGAAGAGTAGGGGATGGTCAAGATGGCTTACTAATTTATTTGTTAGATAGTTGGGTCTTATCTCGGACTATACTGGAACAAGGCTTTGGGGCCCCTTCATTTTTCCTATATTCCTTTCCCCCTCTCTTTCTTTCCCTTTCCAGGCTAAATCAGGCCACGGGTTTAGGCTTATGGAGGGGGCTGCTGTGCAGGAAATGGTGCCTTCTGCGCTCGCGGGGGATCGGTTGTTCGTGGTCTTGTTTTCTTCTTCTTTTTCGGCTTCTTTTTTTTTGGTTGCACCACCCTATTTACTTTTTATCAATGCATTAATTGTTGAGACTAGTCCTAAGAGTATGATAGTGCATTGGATTCTCCTATCGCGGTACTGTACCAAGTTCCCTGCATGTCAAATTCGACAATGCGTATGAATTGATCGGGAGTGGGTCTTGAGATTAATTAACCAGGATTGAAAATGGGTGGACCCGACCTGACCCAGTGCGGACAAAGGTTTGGCCCGGCGTGACTTGACCCAATAAACCACAATCCGGGTTAATCAAGGGGCCCATTGGGCCTCCACATGAAATGTACCAGGCACGGCATAGGAAGGTTAAAGCTAGTTTCATTGAGGATAGATAGCCTGTTATTTTGTCTCCTCGATAGTAGGCGAGTGAGGAGAATTGGCACTCAAAGAGCAACTCTGGCATGAGTGCAGGAAGTTGAATCTCATCCTTATCCTGCAAATTCTGCCCGCAGCACTTCCTCCTAACCTGCTTCTCTATATACAGGCATTAATTCAATAGCCCCCCCAATTGGGTATGGGGCCTGCATCATGTGTCCTCCAACAACGATTACTCCCTAATAATAGGACTAACCCGTGCTGGTCAAGCTCCCCAGATTCTGGTGCAGAGGGCCTAGGGTTCTTTCATGAGTATCACACAGGCTATCATACCAGTGTCTATCAAGCATAGACTTGAACACTTAGTAACTAGAGGGTGATTATCTTTCAGATTAAAGACTTACGGCGCGCTACCCACAACCAGCATTCCGTCGGGAGGCCTCGATTGTCCCAACCCATTACAGGAGGAGCACTTTTTTGTTTCACCTTCGGCTTCCAGCTATGTCATTATTCACAGAAATAACAGGTTCGAGTTCAACCCGTGCGCCCTGTGTAACCGGAGTTCGGAGAACCCCCACTACCAGATTCAGGAAGCCAAAAATCCAGAAGTGACCTTCAGGCCGATAGGATAAACGCCAGGCTTGAGATACCACTGCAGGCATCAGAGAAAAATCTCACAGCTTCAGTTGATGGATTGGATTGCTCGAGGACCAATCCCACATCATTAACTTACCCCAGTATTACTAACCAGAAGCCGAACCAGCAGCAGATGAAGAGTGAAAGAAAGCGAGATTTCCGCAGTACCAGCATGCCAAGTTAAAAGAGATTCGTTTTGCACCCATTATCAGCTAACGAATTTTGGAAAGATTGGGGAGCAAGCAATATGAGAGCAGTAACAAACGGTAACTCATACCCGATTACCCCACCCATAAACACAACCAAGTGACTCCTCATGGTGGATATCTGTGCTGCTATTTTTCTTTTTTTTGACTATTTCTATAGAACAGGTAGATTCCAACATGGTATGAAAGAACTGGCTTCGTGTGGATCGAAATAGTGTATGGATGTATGGCATGCTAGCCGATATCCCTGCAGAGTGACCAATGCTGGGGAAAGTTGTTCAGGGGTGCGGTGGGTAGGTCGCCCAAGGGTAAGAAACAACTCAAAAATGCACCGCGGTGAAGTGAAAAAATGAGTCCGGATGAGAGGTGGAACGTGAGGACAGAAGCGATGGAAACTGTGTTCGGTGGTCGATCTAGCTAAGGACTGACCAAGAGATATATATCTCCAAAGCACAAACAACCATGGAAAAAACGAACTCAAAAGAAACACATCTTAACCGGTCAGGATCCTCCCCAACCTCCAGCAATCTAGAAAAATCCAAAACCAAACCACCATATGCCTAATGGCATAGGGTGTGAAAGAAACAACACAAAACCACCAAAAGTGACCCATATCCTATGCCAACCAGCATAGGATGTGAAAGAAACAAAACACTGCCCTCTGCCTCTGCACTGCACACCACAAAACATATGCCCGATAATCGCATATCTGCCTAACCACATATACGCCTAACCCCATATCCTATAGGCAATCCAACAAAGGTATCGCGACATTATTGGGTTGATCTCTGTGCTCCCCCGGTCAGAATGGAGGATTAGTCTGGCTTGGATTGAGCTGGGTCCGAGCTGAACTGTCCCGATAGACCCCCTAAACTCTGTGGTGTGTTCCCCCGAGATTATTGCTCTCGCAACGAGAGCGACCAGGATTACCCAAGACCAGCAGAAGGTGCACCCCCTGGTGTATGAAAACAAGGAAATAGTGTAAATTCTGGCGGTTTCTCCGAAGTGCCACATAAGCTTCCACACAAAATGCAGTCTCAGAATATCACTCGTTCTGATCCCTCCAAATTTTCACTGCATCAACTTAACACAATCTCCTTACTCCAAGTCCACGTAGTCGAGACCTTCTCCCTTGGCTCATCCCTGTATCTCCCCTTATCAAACTACTAAGCTCCAGACACGAATTCCTCCTCTGGTACTCGGAATATTCACTTTGGTCCTCTATCTGTCCCGCAAACTATGCAGCCCATTCCTAAATCCGAGGTTTGTGAGTCTAATGGATAGAGGTTCAACAACTTAAATTCCAATTACCCCCAGAGCACCAATCCAGCGCATAACTAAACCCCCCCAGTACCGGTGCCCACAAAAAGAATGCAGAGCTCAATAAACCGCCACTTAAGTGCTCATTGGAACTGGCCAGACACAGCCTAAGCCCTAATTAATGCTACTTCCCATCCTACAACCCAACAGTTGAGCAAGACAACCAGTCCCTACCTAAAACATGGTTGCCTGGTCATATCACAAGCCAACAGGGCAATGCTATCATAGTGCGCAGCAAGAAATCACCTCATTGAATCTCGCCCTTCCAACTAAACCGCTCCTCCGCGCTAGACTATGGGCACACTACAAATGGTAACTCCACAATCCACAAGCGATACACAAACTGAGTCAGATACAACTTTGCTTGTTTTCTCATCCTGAGCGGACCTAACTCCTTCTTCAGATCAAACCCAGAGTATTATTTCTCACTGGTAGGCCAAGTACAGTGTTCCGAAGCGTCCGGGGGCCCCATAGGGACG